TCAGTTTACTCAGCTTTTCAGGTGTGTAGGGCAGATTTCTAGGAAGGGGAGCGTTGGCATGGAAGGGGTTTATATACGGGAAGCTCTTCTTTCCCTAAAAAAGGTTCATTTTTGCCCCATCTCCCTCTCTCTCTATCTTCTGTCATCTCTCCCTTTCCCCCTATTATCTCTCTATCATCTCTCTCTCTTGTCTGTCTACAGTCTGTCTTCAGAGGATAATTAGAACTGCAGGGGGAAAAAAAACAATGGCTGCCAACCTGCCTTCCATTGAGGACCTGTATACTGCACGAGTCAAAAAGAGGGCCGTGAAAATATCTACAGACCCCTCGCATCCTGGACATAAATTGTGTCAACTTCCACTCTCAAAACGACATTATAGAGCATTAAACACCAGAACAACTAGACACAGGAACAGTTTTTCCCCAAACACCATCACTCTGCTAAACAAATAATTCCCTCAACACTGTCAAACTATTAACTAAGGCCGCATTACTATTACTATTAATCTTCTCATTGTTCCTATCATCCATTTCCTCCCACTTATGACTGCAGTATTATAACTTTGTTGCTTGTATCCTTACGATTTATATTGATATTGATTGTTACCTGATTGCTTATTTGTACCCGATGGCTATCATTAAGTGTTGTACCTTATGATTCTCGACGAATGTATCTTGTCTTTTAAATGTACACTGAGAGCATCTGCACCAAAGACAAATTCCTTGTGTGTCCAATTACACTTGGCCAATAAAGAATTCTGTTCTATTCTATTCTATTCTATTCTATTCCTACCCTATCCTTTCTATCTTCTATCATCTCCCTGTTTCTCTCCCTATCATCTCTCTTTCTCTCTCCTCATTATCTCTCTGTCTCTCTATCTTCTCTCATCCATCCATTCATCTATGTATCCTCTATCATCATCTCTCTCTTTCTTTTATGTATCTCTCTCCTATCTTTATCTTTATATATCCACCCACTCACCCACCCACCCATCCATCCATCCCAGCTTTCCTGCTTTTGTGGCTATGCCATGAACAGTTTCCTTGTTAAGTCTTGATGATTTCTCAGGCTGGCCACTTGGTGCATGTTGGTAAAGCCCAGATCCATTTTCTCTTCATTGTTGACTTAATGTGGTCTCATCCAGAGATAAAAAAACAACAATCACCAACCACCAATCTTTCTTGCATTCTGTTTTGGACCTTCTCTAGCAATAGCAATAACTTTCTGTGGGGAGCCTCACAAACTGGTTGATATTACAGAAAACTCTTGAAGAAAGAAGGAGTTTTGAACTCCCATTATCGAGTGCAAAAACTTCCTGATGGGACCACAGCGTTGCCTATACTTGGTCAAAGCTTCACAGTGCAGCATCTACAACAGCTGAAAGAGAGCATACCACATGGAAAGGCCTGCGCTCTGACATGGATGCATGTAAGTCAAGCTCTTGTGAAGAAGTCACGTTTTTTGCCTAACTCTAGATTTATCTCTGGAGCTGGAAATAAATACAAGTAGTTCTTGAATTAAAACAGGTCATTTAATGACTGTTCAAAGGTACAACAGCACTTTAAAAAAGCAATTTATGTCCGTTTTTCATACTTATGACTGTTGCAGCATCCCCATGGTCATGTGATCAAAATTCAGACACTGGTTGAGCTTCTTCGATGCAAGTGGGGGTTTGGATTGGAACTAGTGCTGTCACTGTTTTAACTGTTCTGATATCCCAGAAGGGCTGGTTTTGTGTAAGGTAATGCTTTGGGAATCACTGGGGTTTTGATTGACACATTCAAAGTATTCTGCCTTTTGAACCTTTCATCATAAGCATTCAATAGGCTAAAACACATGAGGAACGGTTGCAGGAACTGGGCATGGCTAGTCTAGTGAAGAGAAAGACCAGGGATGACATGACAGCACTGTTCCAATATTTGAGTGGCTGCCACAGAGAGGAGGGGGTCAACTGGTTTTCCAAAACACTTGAAGGCCAGACAAAGAATCGTGGATGGAAACTGATCAAGGAGAGATTCAATCTAGAAATAAGGAGAACATTTCTGACAGTGAAAACAATCAACTCGTGGAATAGCTTGCTATCAGAAGTTGTGGGAGCTTCATTGTTGGAAGCTTTCGAGAAGAGACTGGGCTGCCATCTGTCAGAAATGGTATAGGGTCTCCTGCTTGAGCAGGGGGTTGGAGTAGATGATCTACAAGGTCCCTTCCAACTCTGTCATTCCATTCCATTCTATATACCGCGCAGATGTATAGCTAAGATAAACAAGATCAGAGAGTACCTAGGACCCCATACAGCCAAGTTGTTTAGAAAGGATTTCAAATTGAAGCAAGCTCTGTGTATCACTGAGGAACTAACTTTCTTTTTCTTTCTTAGAATCCTATTCCTTCGAAAGCAGCTATGATACGTTCACCCATTCAGAAACTGCACAGTGAGCTACAACACCTCATGTCAACCCATGGTGCTGCTTGGTCAGAAGAGCTGGAGAAAGATCTGCCACGGTCCTGGCAGAGGCATGGGGACCTCGTTCTTCTAAGCGAGGATTGCTTTAGAGCAAAGCAGTGGAGAGAATTGGGTAAAGAGTCGTTGATTAAGTTGGGCGGCTATAGAAATCAGTCGATCAAACAAACAAATAAACTGCAAATATAATTTTACAGTGGGTGATCCCTGTTCAGTAAAACCAGACTTTTATTCCTTACTAGTTGATAACCCGGTGTTGCCCAGGTATTTATTTACAGTGGGGAAATGTCCCGGGCTAAATTTCTAACGTTGGATTTTTCCCCTCACCAGAGGGAGCCCCCTTGTGGAGTACTGTGAAGCTGTTACCATGGCAACTCAACTGCGCTGCACAGTAGAAGCCATTTTATGGCAGTACAGTAGAAGCCATTTTAAGGCGCAACAGTATGTATCTTAACAGAGCCCCCCCCCCCCAAAGGGTGTGAAAAGTGTTTTACCCCCACAGTATTTACCTCCAGAGAATAAGTCATCTGTGTACCAAGTTTGGTGTAGGTCTTTGGTTATTTGGGTTTTCTCCCGCGTAAAATTGGAAGTGTCTTGGCGACGTTTCGACGAAGTCTCATTCATCATCTTCACGAAGCCGAGTAAACAAGCCTGAAGATGACGAATGAGACTTAGTTGAAACGTCGCCAAGACACTTCCAATTTTATGCGGGAGAAAACCCGAATAACCAAAGACCGACCTACCTGCATGCATGCATACATACATACATACATTGCAATTATGCTGATAATAAATAAAGTAGTATAGATCTATTTCAAGCTATTTAGCTTTCATCAGCTAGCCATACCCTTACTGGGAATCAAACCAGTATTTATTATTTATTTATCGGCACAATTGCAACACAAATGTAACAAGGCAACATAAAAAAAATGGCTTTCTGTCTGGATGGCTCCCAGAGTGAGTCAATAGACAGAAAACGAAAGTAGTATGCTCCCTCCCATATTTGGGCATACCAGGGGTTGTGACGCAACACACACACAAACTGTGGGGGAGTGCAAGTTTAAAATAACTAGAATGCAGTTCTGTTAATTTGGGTCTGAACCCAAATTAAGGTTAATATTTCTTATTTACATAGCAGTGATTTGGTGCTCAGGATTTCACCAAGATCTGGCATGCTGGATCTTTATTGCATGGGCTTTACATAATAAAAGAAAGAGGGGGAAGATATGAAGGCATGGGGCAACAGTAGAAGATGTGATAACTGCAATTGCACATACTTGGGTTGAATTACAAGGATTGGGCTTCATAATTGCCCTAAGCCACGGTTTACTTAGAATGGTATGGTGGCCTAGAGGTGGAGCACTTGCCTCACAACCATGTGGCTGTGAGTTCGATCCTAGGTAGAGGCAGATATTTCTCTCTCTGGGCCCAATAAGAATATATCTGCTGAACAAAACTCCATATTGGCAACAGGAAGGGCATCTGGCCAGTAAACCCTCTGCTAGGTCCATTCAGTTGCCCCGACTCCACCCTGCAAGGGATTATGGGGTCATTCAAAGAAGATGATGGTTTATTTAACCATAGTTTGTTGAATAAACCACAGTGGGCTAAATTCCTACCTCGCATTAAACCAATATGCAATGAGGCATTTTATAGCTGAACAGATATTTTGCACACAGTAAAGAAGAACAAAGCAGATAATGTCCAGATAGGTGATAGAAGTCAATCCCAAAAGATGAACAGTACTTGAATTTGAGACCACAATGAAGTATAAGAACAGCCAGCTGAAGATTAGATTCCTCTTTATTCACCTGGTGATATGGTTTCTTTTAGAAACTTACTGCTGTAATAAAATACCATATGTTGATTCTTAAAATGTGTCCTGGTTTGTTTTGGTGTCATTGAACCACCCTGTAGTGAGAAATAATGGCCTTTGCTCTCTGTTCCAGGCCAAGGACTTTGGCAGGTGGTTGCTGATGCTTTGGGGGCCCGGCGTTTAGCCAAACGGGGCCGAGTGCAACCAGATTTCTTTCGTTCTCCTGCTGTGACCCTGTTGCTGGGCGAGGATGGTTGGGTTGAACAGGTGGACAATGGAATCAGGTAAGGGGGGAAAAAGTTTCTCCTTGGCTCGTCTTTTCCTCCTTTACACTTATGTATAATGCAATATAATGAATAATGCAATAATAATAATAATTAATAATAAATGGAACACGGTGGCTCAGTGGCTAAGACGCTGAGCTTGTCGATCAGAAAGGTTCGAATCCCTAGCTCCGCATAACCGAGTGAGTTCCCGTTACTTGTCCCAGCTCCTGCCAACCTAGCAGTTCGAAAGCATGTAAAAATGCAACTAGAAAAATAGGGACCACCTTTGGTGGGAAGGTAACAGCGTTCCGTGCGCCTTCAGTGTTTAGTCATGCCGGCCACATGACCACGGAGACATCTTTGAACTGCTGGCTCTTTGGCTTTGAAACAGAGATGAGTGCTGCCCCCTAGAGTCAGAAACGACTAGCACATACATGTACGAAGGGAACCTTCATCTTTAATGCAATCACACGAAAGGTCCTAGACATTCAAGTTTAACCGAGAAAGTCGGTGGTGTTTGCTAGCTCGGGACACAGAATAATAGTCTTAAATTGCAGGAAAGCAGATACGGCTTGAAAGTAAGATGGAAAAATCTCCATGATTGAGTTTTTCATCTGTGGAAACTAGCTAGATTTCCTGCAGTAGAGATCTTAAAGCAGATAAAGCCTGTTAAAAGGGCCATATTGTTTTTCCTATGCATGTACCATAGTTTTTTATTTCCCACACTTTATGCATATTTCTGGATATGAAGTTATCTGATTTTTTGTTAGTCCCTTTGGGAAATCTGTTGCTGGGCAGGACAGAAAGATCTCTGGTAAGTTGATACGTTTCCAAAACAAGCCAAGATGAACATCTGCTTGGTTAATCTAGGCTGTCACTTTGTTTCCCTCAGGGTCATGAGCCCTACAGCCTAGCAAAGCTTAGCGTTAGGTTAGATTTACAGGTGTGGGCTACTGGGGGTTCGCAGGGATTCAGGAGAACCTCTAGCTAAGATTCTGTGCAGTTTGGAGAACCTCCAAATCCCATTCCTGGTTGGCCCCTCCCCTCCCAGGAGTTCCCATGCAGCCCATTCTGGATGTAGGTAAGTGCAGGGCGCATGAAGAGGCTCAGAGAGGGCGAAAAATGGGCCTACCGGAAGTTTGGGAAACCCAGAAATGGGCCTGTTTCCGGCCTACAGAGGTACCCTGGAGCTTGGGGAGGCGGTTTTCACCCTCCCGGAGGCTCGAAAAAAGCCTCCGGAGCCTAGGGAGCACAAACACACTCACACACACACATACTACTGTGGTGCAGAAGGTCGACTAGGCCACGCCCACTCAGCAACTGGGCAGAGAACCCTTGCTAGAATTTTTGAAGCCCACCCCTGGGCTAGAAGTACACCTCTTGGGAAATTTAGGATGGATATCTAGTCCCCCGCATCTGTGTTTTTTCTCCACAGATACAGCTTTGATGTGACCCAGTGCATGCTGTCTCCCGGAAACATTACCGAAAAGTTACGGATAGCCTCCATGTTATGCACAGGAGAAGTAGTGGTGGATCTTTATGCTGGTAAATACTGCCTTGATAATACACATAAAATTCATATTTGATTTTACTCGTATTGCCTGCAGCTAGAATAGTATTTGCACAACAATGGAAAAGTGAAGAGATCCCAACAGATGAAAATGTGATTAAAAAAATATTAGAATGTGCAGAAATGGATAAGTTAACACTTACAATTAAGGAAAAGAAAGAGACTGAATATTTTTTTGATCTGGGACTTATTTTACAATGATTAGCTGACAAAAACAGGAGCTAGAAACGGGGGAAATATATGGAAGAACCAGTGATATAAGTAAGATATGTTAACCTGGTTAAACATGTTGTTGTTGTTGTTGTTGTTATTGATACTAACCATGTGCTTAATGGTTCTGTTCATCATTAAACTTTCTTTCCAGTCAGCCTCCATGTTTCCAGTGTCTTTCTCCTGGTTTGGAACTGAACCAGATAGATACTGTATTTTCCGGCATATAAGGTGACTGGGTGTATAAGACGACCCCCTACTTTTCCTGTTAAAATATAGGGTTTGGGCTATACTCGCCATATAAGACTATCCTTCTTTCTTTCTTCTTGCTGGTGGAGCCATGATGGGGCCTTGACTGTTAGCCATTTGTATACTATACTGTTGGCCTTTCAGGCAGTGCGGTGCAGTAATACTGTCATGTCAGGTATCGCCATTCCAGTATACAGTGCCCAGCCAATCACGGCGAGCAATGTATTTTCTATTAATGAATACAAGGCCTGCTTGGATTGGCAGAGGGTGTGACATCATCAGCCTGCCTTCCTGACTCCAAGACAGTCCGAGCAGGTCGGCTCATAGCGGTATACATTATGTGGAAATTGCCGGCTCAGCGCTGCCGGTATGGAAAATGCAGCGCAGTATGACAGCGGCAGCGGTACTTAACGGCATTCAGACCAGCTTGGAACCAGTAAGTTTCGGCTCGCCGTATACCCGGCATATATAAGATGACCCCCGATTTTTGGAATGATTTTTATAGGCTAAAAAGTCATCTTATATGCCCGAAAACACGGTATTTCTTCCCACACTGCTTAAACAAAGCTTAGGTGTCAATCAAGGATAATGTAATGGCAGGGACACTGAGCTCATTTTGTCTGTCTTCTCTTCAGGGATTGGCTATTTCACTCTGCCATACTTAATTCACGCCAGTGCTGCTTTTGTCCACGCTTGTGAGTGGAACCCCCATGCTGTGGAAGCTCTACAGAAGAACCTGCAACTGAACGGCGTCCAGGATCGATGCCACGTTCACCAGGGGGATAATAGGAAGGTGAGTAGAAAAGGCCTCAAAATTGACCCTGTGTCCTGCTCCTGTTGGAGCCTGAGTCTGCGGAGGAAAACAAGCCAGAACTGGAGCTGACGGAGATTGAGGGGGTGGCTTTGTTGGCTTTGGAGGAATGTGGAGAGGCCGAGTCACGCCAGGGCCTTTCTGGATTGGGACGACTTGTAGGCACGGGGGGACGGAAGCAGGATGATCCAAGAGAGGGTAAGCAGTGCACATGACGAGCGACAAAGCTCAGGCAATGAGCAAGGACCACCTCCTCCTGATCCCCGATCACGGAGAGTAGAGAGAAGACAGGAACAGTGCAGGCTGACCCAACAACTTGGGACACCGAGCACCCCGCCCCTCTTCACAAGGCACACCTGGGGGAATGAGATTTAAGGAGACGCTATGGGGAGGGGCATTTGTCAGGGACAAATGCTGAATTCGTGGAGTTTTGTGTGCCATTGCGGATGTTTGGAGTTTCCTTCTTGCTTTATTTCTTTCTTCCTGAAACCATTGCCTTGTTGCTTTGCTTCCTGGACTCATTGACTTATTCCCTTGCCCCGCTGGATTTCTTGCTTTGCAGCCTTTGTGCTCACAGCATTCTGCTGGACTATTTGCAGCCAGAGGCGGCTGGAGGTGTGTGTGTGTGTGTGAGAGAGAGAGAGAGAGACAGAGAGAGAGACAGAGAGAGAGGGGGGGGGTCACTTTGCTTTGGGACTTGCCATAAGCGTTTGGGGGAAAGCTAGAGCAATAAAGGGGCAGTTTGAACTATCAGCTGACTATGTTGCCTCTGGGCCTTGCCTCAGATCATCACATCCTGAAACTTTCTCTGCCTGAAACTTTAAAAAGCTGCTGCGGTTCTGAGTATAAACTGAGCTAGGAAGGCAAATCAATAGCACTTAGACTTATATACCACTTCATAGGGCTTTCAGCCCTCTCTAAG